TCTGAAAGTTAGGTCTTAATGAGTCCTCTGTTCAACATTTCTCATGGCATGACACTGTATAGAAATAGAAAATTACTGAGAGAAGAGAAATTGATGACACTTTAAAAGGAAATTTTAAGTTCACTACACAGAATGAATGTCATGGATTGTAAAAGAAATCTTTATGTGCATTGGCATCGGAATGCCTGGCTTTCAGAGATGAAAATGAGGCCTATATACATGCTTAGCAGAAAATTATTTGTTTGCAAGATGATGGAATTCTTGTGGTCATTATCGCAATTAAACACTCATTAAACAGTTTGAGACAATCAGTGAGGGTAGTGGCCTGGAAGTAATTCTCATTGTGTAAAATTTGGATAATTAAAAATGTTTTTCCTGAATGTCACTACTGTTACTCTGGATTTGCAAATGAGAGAAGAATTTTGCTCACAGTCCAATTACAGATACTCTATAGTCTTGAAAAAAAAAAAAAACAAAAATAGGTCAGAGCACACATATATTATAGATGTTTCTAGTTCTTATTCTGCTATTCATAAATACAGTTTACAAGAAAAATATATTTACAACAGCAAAAAGGGTCAATTAAAATATATATTACTATGCTTTAAAATTACTCTTCCAGCTCACTTGTGAATAGGAAGCCACCGATAAATTCAAATTGGCTTATGAGGAAATTGAATTGTATGTAATTGCCACCTTCTTAGTCTTAACAATTAAAAATTCTGTCAGATAAAAAAAGTTTTAGAGAAAGATTTTCACCATTTTTGCTTCTTAGAAATTAAACAGCTGTATGAGGAAAATACTATTTTCTTCCACCTGTGTGCAGACCCTCAATCTTCTTGCCAGTTACAGTTAGAAAGGCAGACATACATTCAACATTCACTTTATACCTGAACATTTATGGGGCAATGCCCTGCCAGTGGAATAGGCAAATCAATTATCCATTACTAGTTCTGTACCTGTTCATCTTCAGGACAGAGGAAACCCTGCTCAGAAAGAAAAGTTTAAGCATCTGGGAAACTCAAGCAGAAACTGAAAGTGCCTGCGTGTATGTTGTTGGGGCCCCAGGTGTTACATGAAAGAAGCAAGAATTTTGAAGCGCTAAATTTTGGACCTGGGTGCTAAATATTCCTGAATGTTTTTTTAATCCCTCTATTGGTAAGGATAGCTCAAAGGAAATTACTGTATGTGTGCTCACAGGGAAATGAATTGCAACAGTGAGTGATGCAGATGATGGGGCAAAAAAAAAGCTGTATCTCCATCTACCACAGTAATCCTACGGTGCTGAACTTCGAAATAGTGTTCAGTGCACATGTAAGAATGTGTGACAGTAAGGGGTAAGTTAAAAGATAGGACAAATCAGGATAGTAAAAGTCTCCAAGAGGCCATGTATTATTTAAATATGTATCACAGCTATGTAAGATCCAAAGTTCAGAAAGTTAAAATTCTGTTCCAGAGGAAGAAGACATAGTATACTGTACTTTTGCTGTTATTTAGCTAGTTACTTGTTTCTTCTGTATTTGGTTAGGTGAATTCTGTAAGGTTACATTTATTCCCGAGACTGCCTCTTACATCAAACATCAGAATGCTATTTTACTCTACGATATATTCGATTTTGTGGTAACTCTTTTACAGAAAATGTTGAAATCATTAGGAGCAGTACCTGCAAAATGAATGACTAGATGCTAGTCTTGAAAATGTTGGTATGATCTAGAAAAAACAGTCTACACCTGAGAAACTGTTCCTGACTTAAACAAAAATTGAATTTGTATCTAGGCTATATGTGTTTTATCTTCTTTGGTTAATACCAATATGATTACATCAAAAACTCTTCTTGCCATCTGCCAATTTGAAAAGAAATGCTGTTAAATTTATGGTTATTGTTTATGCAGAGAGAACAGTCCATTTCTAATCAGCTAAGTGATCACAGATCTAACAACTGGAATTCATATAACAGATTGGTTAAAAATGAAAGAAACAGCAAACACAACTGCAGAATATGTTAAGATTTAACTCTTGTTAAACCAGGACTAGATACTGTGGATTAATCCAAGACGAAAAGCACTACATACTTAATGCAAGGTTAAAAACCATAAAATATTGTAATATACAAAGTAGAACTTCTAAGTGTCTGAGGAGTCTGCAATTAAGTACAGTTTTAAAAAAATCTAATTCTGTTTATTCCAAAATAATTTTGTATGCTTTTATGTGTGTTGTAATGCTGTGTCTTCTAAGCATAATTTTCAGCATTTCAGAACTGGCATTCTTTATTTTGTTCCACTAATGCTTATGCAATCACACACGAAAAAAATGTTCCTATCCTTTGAAAAGAATGTGAGATTTCAATGTGGGTCTATGTCTAGGAAATACATGTTTTCATATGCACTTGACTCTGAATAAACAAAAAAAAATTCTGTCAGGAAGCTAATTTTTCAGGAAAATTATTCAGAGTCTTAAGATTATAAAATGTTTTCCAAGTTGAAATCACTGAGAATGCGAAGAAATATTACAGGAAGAATCTGAAAAGACATCTTCAGAGTACTGGGGGTGAACTCTTTTTGTTCGGCCATCATAGCTTTATTCTGTATTTATGATGAGACACAGGAAATACCATATCATGCATGGTATAATTTTTCAGCAAACACAGACTTCACTTAAAAAGTAGAAAAGTAGATTAGGCTTAAGTGAAATACTTGTATTACCATCTAGCCAAAAGAAATAAAGCTCCTAGGATGAGCAGGTTTCTTATTATGTGTATGATATTGCTCCTGAAGTAACAAAGAACCATAGCAATTGTAATTTGTACTCCAGTCATTTCCTGCATTTTTGATGAGTTCTACTTTGTAATGGATTGGCAGGTGGGACCGATCTTCCTTCGTCCCTTCTGACTAAGTCCAGCCTGATTTCTTTTCAATCTTCAGTCTTTTCCAGCCTTGTCTTTTTTTTCTTTTTTGGCTGCATTTTGGCTTGTTTAAGCATTCTTGATTGTACAGCTTACCACTACTGTGATTCTTACAGTTTTTCATTGGCATGTACAAACACCAGTAGTCTTCCTTCATAAGCTATGGAAGTACTGAGGTTGCTCTTTCCGTTTATGAAGGTTCTCCCCAATTCTGTGGAACCTTCATGGTCCCATTTGGTTTCGATGTCACTTGGAGGGACAGGAAGCCTTGAGGACCTTGGAAAACCACAGTTTCTTCCTCATTGGAGGCAGATTATGGCAAGACCTTGCACCAAATATTCCTTTGAGATTGCTCCTTTCTTCAGTCCACTGAGCCACATACATGAGGGCCTATCGTATACTGGCCCTATTTTCTTGCCCCAGGATATGACTAAGTATATTATTCCTTGCTATCAGTGAAATCAGTGGCAGAAGGTGCACACTTTCTAGGCAATGTATAGTCTCCTTTGTTAGAAGTAATGGTGAATCTCAAATACAAGAATTAACAAGTTTTAGTATGCAGAATTCATTTAAACTGAACTTCAGTAAGGTTGTATCAGCACAAAGTGGTAGAATTTTCCTTAAAGTAGAGTTTTTAGGCTTTGTTCTTGACAAAAGAACTGGAGTTCACATTTTGTCTGGACACTGGATTGAGGTGTAAATAATGACCTTTTAACTTAGGTCAGAGAGAACCTATTTTGCTAGTTTAAGTAGACATTGTCTGCTGTAGGTCTCAAAGCCTAGGTCGGTATTAAGAAATTATTTGACTATAGCAGCCCAATCTGCTATTGCTGCAAATAATTTATCAGGTAAGTTACTCTTGTTCCCATGAGGAATCCCCAACTCTAATTTTATTTCATGTCTTTTGAAGCATAAGTTTAACCACAGGAAATTCAATCACTGTAAAGAATGCTAGCAATCTTTCTATTGTGAAAGCTTCATTTATATTATTCATAGGCTAGAAATCTGAAAACATAACTCAATTTTTTTTTCATTTCTTAGCAGTAGTATTCAGAAATGACATTAGGTTCAGATTGTTTAGGCTCTTCTAGTTCTTATTAAATTCAGTTTTGAGGGTTATCTTGCCATTTAACGTAACTATGTAGCAAACCAATAGCAAGAATGTCTGAAAATGAAATGGCTGAAATCCTAACTCTTCAATCTTACCACTTACTGCCCTATTATTGAAAGTACCTTTGGAAGAAGCATTGAATACCTGATTCTCAGATATGACTGGGTAAATCACTTCATTAGCACTTAAAGAAACAGTTAGGTTTATAAAAAAGTGTGTTTACACCCATGCGGCATTCTCAGCCTACAAAATTGAGGTTTATTGTCTGGTTTTACAGCCAGGCATGAGAATTGGTTCCTGGATCTGGGTAAGCAGTTAATTGGAGGTGTAGGGTTACTCTTGATTTCAGTTTTTGTTTTTGAGATAATTACTGCTTTTCTGAAAAAATTCTTGAACATCCCATTCTCCTCACAGTGTAGTATCACATGACTACTAATTTAAGCATGGGGCGGAGGAGTAGGAAATTCAGACAGAAACTATAGAACCAAAAGACTGACTTGTTGCTGATGAGAGTGTCTTCAAAGCAGGGTTGATTATGCCTAATCCAGGATTTGTAAGATGAACAGTGACTGTGAAACTGGCTCTGAAATCTACTGCACCTGCACCAGGACCAAGGATCACTGAAACCGGATGGCAAAAGAACCCTTCAATCTACCAGAAAATACTTATACAAAACTTATAAAGAGGAGAAAATATCTCAGTCACTTTTTTACCCCTTTTCTAAAAGTATGCAGGGAAGGAAATAAGGACATACAATCTTACCAAAGGCAAAGTATGTTCAGTTGTTTTAAGCTGAACAACTAAAGAATTATTTGTGAATACAGTGTCGTAGAAACAGGTTTTTTTCATGGTATACACATAGCTTAATAGTTTATGAAGCAGATTGTGGTGTGGTTCCTTTCAGCAGTAGGGAACTGATTTGATGACTCTCACGTCCTTCCAGTCCCATTCCTAACTAAAATTTTTCTGGTTTACTGCAGCCCGGAAGATGGTGAGATTCATCCCGAAATCTGTAGACTATACATCCAGTTGCAGTGTTGCTTAGAAATGTACACAACAGAAATGCTTAAATCCATATGTCTTCTAGGATCTCTGCAGTTTCATCGGAAAGGTAATGAATTGCACAAATGTACAGATGCTGATGTGAAAAAAAGAACAGTCTTTTAGGGCATGCATGGGTATTCATGAAAGACAAAGCACCAAACTGTAAAGTGTACTATACCACTGAAGCTTTTCAGCTACTGAAAAAATAGCTGTATTTCTATTTAATTATTGTCATTTTACAGAAGTGTGTCATATCAGGCATGTATAACTAATGTCCTTCTATGTTAGAAGTCTGAAAATTTTTTTAAAAGAGTGATCTCAAAAGTTTTACCTGTAATTAATCAGATCAGTGAGCAAACTATCTTGGTCATGTTATTAGAGGTGTTTGTTGGGTGTGATATATGAGGGCAAGTGTTTGGTGGAGCAATATGGCATGGTTTTAGTAATAAACTGGTCCCTTACTATCCCTGTTGTTATTTATCCAGCAATGCCAGCTTGTAGCAAAAGACGAATAAATATAGCTAAAAAGCTGCCCATCTTTATAAAAATAGATACGGGATTCAGAACTGAAATCTACCTCATAGAGTATTTTTACACACGAAGGAGATGTCCTTGCTTTGGTGAAAATGCATCTCTGTAATGATTTCATATTTGATTAGCCACCTACTGAAAGGAAGATGTAGAAATGCAGATAATTCACTGAATAGGTTACTTAATAACCTCATTACTCAGTGATGGCACATACTGATTGGGACTGTATCTGTGCTAATTGTAACTGCTCTTTCCCCAGATGATATCTCAGCATAATATTCTAGGTAAAGACAAGACCAAGTTCTGTAATGAACTGTAATGAAGGTCTTGTAATGAACCTTATGTGTTCCTGTCATGCTGAAAGATCCCATAATGTATTTTTCACATCTAGCTATAGCATACAGTTAAACCCAGTGATATTTTTATACTGAAAATAAGAATTAGAGGTTTATAACTGCTCAGTTGAGCTTCTCAGTCATTTTCTCAAGTCAAAAAGAAATCTATAAAATAGGAAGAGACAGAATTAACAGAGGCATTGTATAAGAAGATGCTAGTAGCTACTAAAATGAATCATCATTTTTAAAGACAGATTTTACTGTATTTCTTAGCATTGGCTACAGTTGTCTAACTACCTTCTGTAATTGCAGAAGGAAAGTAGCTTGAGGTGACCTGAGTAACCCCAATATGTCTTGTCTCTCTCTTTTGCCTCTGGATGGAATCTACATTAATAACTTAAACTAAACATCAAATTATTAGATGTCTAAAGTTGGATAAGATGAATTACAACATTATAGTATGGGCCAGCTTAGTTCCTATCTGGCAGTACTTTTGATATACATTGGTTCCTTATCTCATCATGGAGAAAGGCATGGTAGCTATTCTGCCATTGTTACATAGAGTAGTTTTTGTCTTGTATCCATATAGAGATAACCACACTAACCTGGCTTCAGGTTTCTGTGGCATTCTTTGAGAAAAATTCACAATAGGCTAAAATTATATAATCACAGGGTTTCAAATAATTTGAATTTTGGAACTTAGTCAATAGCGCATTGCTCTTGTATATTAAATACTTGCTATTGACAACACCTAGAAGTATTGTAAAGGCATCATGCAACAAGGGAAATTCCAATTACATGTTAAGTGTTTTTTGACCATGAAGGTAATGATATGCTTCTATAATTTCTTCATAGTAGCTCATATGGTGCCGTGTTTTAGATTTGTGACCACAGCAGACTGTTACTCCTCTCAAAGATCTTTCCAGTTCATCTACAGGGAAATCTAACTAGCTCTGGACCTATAATAGATGGGTTTTTTTCATTATGTAAGTTTCTCTGCGAAGTAGATCATGCCTAAGAGTAGGTGCATAGGGTAGCATGACAGAAGCAAACACAGAGGTCACCACAGAAGCAATAAGGAGCACAACAGTTGAGACACATAAAGTACAATGGTCACAGATGTTATATGTAGCTTTACTGAAGTGATCATTTTCTACCCTCTTATTTATCCTCACTCAATTTTGATCCTCAGCATTATTTAATTCTATGAATTTAATTTCATACTAAAGGCATTTTCTGCTTTTTACAGTAAAAAATGCTGAATTAGAGGCTAGAAAACAAAGAATACGTCATATTACATATTAATACATCATAATACATATTAAAATTTCACAGTAAAAGCAGCCTCTGTCTAGTCTACTGGCAAGAATAGCAAGTGTCTGTGAACACCTCTGATAACACTGTGTGCATGATCAAATTCCAACTGAAGTTAATTAAGGTCTTTCCACTGACTAAATTGGAAGTAAAATTTAGGGTTCATATCCCTATTTTAAGAATGTGCAATACAAAAGATATCCTTACCACCAGTAGAAGGATGAGAAGATTAAAGAGCTTTTGTTTCTCTACGGGCTGTGCCGTGTAGTAGAAATGTTAAGCCTGAGTCATGTACGTTATTCAAGCAAAGCCTTTATTATTAGCTGGCTCTTTTAACTGTGTTCAAGTGATGGAGCAGATGCTCTGAAATTCAAGAAAGGCTTCATGAATTGTTCACAATACAACAGAATTACTGATAAAGAGCTTTTTTCAGTTGAAAAGAAATCTGTGCCATTCATTCTGCTAAATCTGCAAGAGCTTGCCTTTGTGCTAACAAAAAGAAGGTTGCAGTCTCAGTGCTTCTGTTCTCAAGTGGCGAAAAAGAACCTTTTACATTATTGCATCTAATATGGTTATTGTGTCCACTGAAACACCTTTCACGTCCATGAAGGATGCATCTATAGGTGGGGCTGTTCTTGACAGTATGTCACCAAAGGCCAGGACAAAGTTCCAAAGTAACACTTCAAAATAATGCGAAAATTAACTAATACTCAGTTCCAGCAGTAACACCTTGTGATATCAGTGGCAAATTAAATGGTTTCCCAGGGTCAACTCTCTTTTACAAAGAAGTGGTGAGATATTGGTAACGGTGTGTTGTGTTACGGGCTTCTTGTAATGGGAAAAATAATGAATAATGAGGCTTACACAGGTAAACAATTAAAATTGTACGAAGTGAACTACCTTAAAATAACAGCATAAGCTGCACTTAAGAAGTAGAAGAATTTGAAAGTTATACCTATAGGGTGATACAGAGTAAAACATATCATACAGAAAGTGGGCATAGGCTGCTGTTCCAGAAACTATTGAGTCAGCGTAATAGCTTATTACCACCAGAAGGATCTTGATCTCTTCCTCTCTGTTTCCCCTCCCTTGTGCCTTCACTGCTTCCTCCCTTCCACTGGTTCTGGCCATATGATCATCCTCCTCCTCTGGCACTTGCTCTGGAACATGTAGGGTTCTTTACTGACCTGACAAATCACTGCAACATCAGAAAACTTCACATTTTACTTTTCCTTTTATTGGAGTAATCTTCTACCGTTTGATGGGTTAAAGTTGCTCACAGAGAGATCTGGCAAAGCACAAGTTAGCAGTGGATGCCAAAGTAAGCAGCAGAGAATGGACACAGGACATAATTCTATTTCACATTATAAACTTGTAATGTCAGGTCATGCAATCTCTTGGAGTCGTAGTTAGATGACTTGGTTGGGGGGGGAAAGCAGGGAAAAGGGCTTCCTGCTGACTTCAGAGAATAATGAAAACATTAAGCAAGTATCTTCTGTAGTATAAGTAACGTCTGGTTTGACATTCAGACAAGTAGCTAGGAATATTTTTTTTCCACCAAAGGACTAATTTACCAGAGTACAGCAGTTTAGAGAACCTGCCCAAAAAGAGCTTCTTAAGATCCAGGATTTTCTAGTTTTAAGAAAACAAGGTCAGAAGCCTGATAGCGGGGATACTTATTTGTGATCTGGAAGAGCAATATAGCGTAGTCTTCAACCTTCGTCTCTAGTGTCCCGGAAAAATGGGCTAAATGACCACTACTCTGTTAGCTGTCCTTGTTCTTCCTGTTCTTAGTCAAACGTTACAGGAACTGCTCAGGTTTTCCTGATGTGAAAATTTTTCAAATTGCAAAAACTGTGAGACGGAAAAACATTTCCTACTCAACTACTCATACCACTGGTTTAAACATTGACCTTTTTTTCTCGGTTTTTAAAAATTTTGTTTCTTTCTGAAGTTGTTTACTCCATTTCAAGAGAGAACTCAGGGTGGGGAAAAGCATTAATTTCTTAGCAACATGTCTGGGATGCACTCCAATTTTAATTGTCTTATTTAAATGTACTTGGTGTGAGGACTGTACTTGCCACTACAGAAAAAGAATACCATCAGACAGTCCACAAGGAGGTTTGCAAGGATATAAAAAAAATTCAGCCAGTACTTAACTCTCTTGCATACTCCACTATCACAGTCCACATCCTTTATCCCCTTCTCTCCCTGACAAAAGCCCTGGCAGATCTGTTATGAATCCCCCATTAAATTCCAACACTGTTTTGTTTTCATATAGCAAGCATGAATTAGACAAATGTAAGGAGGGAAATTGAGAATATAATGCATATTGGACTGTGGGTGGTGGCAGCTATGTATTGCTTTTAAAATCACCAAGTACGAATCTGGACGTTTTTGTCTTTTCTTGTCCTGTAGTATTGCTATAATACTAGTAAACATGGATTACAATGTTCTTTCGTGTTGAAGTTTTTGAAATTGCTTTCAGAATGTATGCTGTAGTTTCCTTACTTCTTTTGTTCTGTTTTGTCCTCTGGCTCTTATTTTGTGTCACGTGGGAGCCACTGGAGTGCAACTGAAACCCTTCATAATACCCTAATAATGTAAAATTTTCAGCTCCACACAGGCCTACATGGAACTTCTCTTAGTTCTGTTTGGTAGGAGTAACATAGAGCAGCACTCTGATTAGCAGATTGATGTGGACTGCTCTCTTTCTGAACCGTTTTTTCTGAGTTTGCATTCACTATTCTCTCTCCTCATTTATACTGTGCAAGGTCAAGGTCAAAATATCAGTGATACAATCTGAGTATGCATTTTAATTAATAAATAATGAACATATATGTTTTGTTTAAATATTTTAAAGGAAAAGAACCTTGTGCCCCACCCAAGATCCTAGATACTAAAGTGGAGGAGAGTTCTGAAGTACCTATTTTAGAAGATACGTCATCATCACCAACAGATATTCAACAGCATTTATGGCAGGTTTCCACAGATATTGAAAACACTGAAAGGTATGTGTAGCACTTCATTCCTAAACAAAACAAGTTTCTGTCTGGGGTTTATTTAGTCTTTTCCAATCAGACAGCCAGTGTTGCTACTACTAAAGGTATTAGTAAATTAAATAACCTGTTAACATTTCTGTTACATTTAACATATCTTGGAGCAACTCCTGAAAGTAGGACAGAGGGAAGTGACATCCTTAATTAGGATAATTAACAGAGGGTAGTTGTCAAAAACAAAGTGTGGGAAATGATGTTGCTAGTGGGCCAGGTTCTCTAAAGGAGGCATCTTTTGTCTCATCTTGAGTGGTTTCTGATTTTGCACCTGAAATCTGCTGGCCTGCGATTCTGCATTCATGAATCGAAAGCAGAGAATCTAGTTCGTGTGAGTTGTTTCTGCCCATAGTTATGATCGTGGGAGCCTTAGGAGGGGAGGGGAACATCATCCAGACGTTTGTCGAAGTGGAGTTCTCTTACCCCCTCAAATATGCAGCTGAAAGACAAAAATGAGACCCTCTAGTAGGGAGTAAATCTTATGGCCAACATTTCTTTGCAAAAAATACTTATTTTGATGGTTGTGTTTATTAAGGTGCTGCTGGATTTTAATGGTGACCATGTTTGTTTATATAAAATGACGTTCTGTTCTACTGAGGGAGTAACTTGGAGAATAAAATTGAGCAATTTCTTACAAGTCATGCTGCTTCATTTCTAAGAACTATTTTATATGTAGATGAATGAGGCAAGACCACATTGTTTTTAAATCTTGAAGGCCTTAAGACAGTACACGCCTGCACAGGAAATTGCCAGTCTCCCATCTATCTGTAAAACAGGACCTTTTTGCAACTTCTGGCCTCTCTCAAAACATATCCAAATGTAACTTGCTTTGTGAGATGATATTTTGTTATCGTATTTTCCATCTTCTGCCTTTTAGAAAATTTCATGCTAGGGTCCTCCTAAGAGGAGTAATAGTGACAGCCTTGTTTCTAAAATTTTCACTTAATGTGCAGGGAGCTAAAGTGTCATGGATTAGCTACATGTATTATAATTTCCTTTGAACAATGAAGCACATTCATGGCACAAGCTACAAAATGCTGGTAAGGGTTATTGAGTTGACATTAGTACTAGCTTGTGCTAATGTTAAGGCATATTGTGTATTTTGCCACTAGGATCACTTTGTGCCCACCAACTCATTTAATATGGAATACTCAAGTGCCAGAATAGATCATAAATTTGGATTAGATGTGACTAGTTAATATCAGTCTGGCTTAAAAGTGCTCCCTTATTAAATCTACTGCCTTTTATTTTGGTATGCATCTTCTTCTACATGTATGTGAACCAAACGCTTGCCCAACAGACTTTTGTATTTGTTTCTCCAGTATTTCAGCATATAAAGCTATGCTGTGAGCCACTCACCATTCAGTCTTCAACTGCTGTTCTATTTTATCTCTTTCAACTTTTGTTTCCCCAGAGATATGAGAGAAATGAAAAACCTTTTAAGTAAACTCAGGGAGACTATGCCTTTACCACTGAAAAATCAAGGTAGGTTTTGTATTCATGTAAGGAAAATTAAGATAATTAAAGGTTTTGCCTTCCATTACATCTGAAATCTAGAGGTTTTTAATAGAAGTTACAAAAAGAAAAATCTAGGTAAAGTCTCTTCCCTACTGATACTCAAGTTTCACATAAGGTATTCTGGAATTTTACAGATCTGCTATGTATAGAAAAAATAATAGACTTTTTCTGGTGACATGAAGGCAGCAGCACAACTAATTCCCTGTCAGGAAGCTTCCTTTTTAAAAGGTAATGAAGGTGTAAATTGCACAAACTGTGACAGGGATCCTACTGAGTGATGGGGTTTGCTTTACCCCTACAAGGCTTGTAGCTTCTGTGACATGACACTGACCCTATGCAGAAAAGATACTTGCCTTGAGTCTGCTAACACCCTGCTTTTCACAGTAATCAGCTATAAGGCACCCTATAGAAATGCACAGGGGGGCAGGATCTCCATCCTATGCATGTATTTATCAATGGGCCTTCATTTTGTGGCCCAACAATGTTAAATATTCCACATCTACAAGACTCTCTTCATGTGAACAGCATTAAAAAGATAATAATTTTCTTTTTTGATTTCTTCTTCATAATGCATATTTCTTAAACGCTGTGTAGTCTGCACTGTGGCAGCTGATGAAGTATGCCTAACATGTCCTAGATCTTGTCTCAAGTAGCTAAGCAGTCTAGCATTCATCATAATATGGTAAGAGATGAATATAGAATGGATTAATTTGTTATACAAGTAACTTTGTGGCAGGATGGCTCGATGAGAAACTGTGTGACAGAAGAAAGGGCATTGCTTATGGTACATGATACAGATGTGCCATTGTAGAGGCTGGAAAAATGCCGTAAAGTCTATGACTAGCCTAGAAGAAAGGAGCATGGTGGAAATAAGGAAGAAAAAGGTAAATTTGAGGCATATAAAGCATATTGAAACTTGAATTCAGAACAGAGATAAAGGCATACAGAATTCTTCTCTGCTCTTTAATGTCTACACTGTCCTTCAACACTGGCCAGAAAGTCACTGATCACCTATGCAGCAGGATGGGAAACATGTCAGCTAGAGTTTAAAAGCTCTGAGATGTGTCCCAGGATCACGTAATCATAAATGGTGTTTTTGCAGCTCCCACAGACTCCCAACTGTGGTCATAGTTTACTGATGACCTCTGAGAATGGATGACTCAGGACTGGACAGTCATATACATTATTCATACATATAGCCCCTAAAATATTTGAAACATTCCAAGCCCTTTAATTACCTAAAACTAGATAACAGTATAAATAAATGGAACAAACAGACGACATTATAGGTAATTAATATGGTCCAGACTGTAGTTTTGATATGTGTATGATTTAGAAGCACTGTTTAAGAGAATGATTACGAGATGAATGAATGCCATTGAATGAGGTGATCTTTACAAGACTGGATCCTGCTCTCAGTAAATTAGTGCTTTGCTGTTGATTTCAGTGACAGCCAGAATGGAGTTAAGGTTGCAAGCCCACAGAAGTTTTACTTAATGTTACAGACTGCTCACAGATCTGTTTTGGTTTTTTGGTATGGAATTCTCTTAAGTGACAGCAGGAAGGTTACTATGCTAAGAAATTTAGCTGATGTGGTTCGTAAGCTTGAGTCACAATATTAAATGATCTCTTACCTATGTTCTTACAGTTAAGTATTCATATTACAGTAGTGTCTAGAGCCTACAATCAAAACTAGGTCCCTGATGTAACCAGAATAGGAACATAATGAGGCATAGCTCTTAGTCTGAAAATATGCCTGAAGATGGCTGGAATTCAAATTGGGTTCTAAAGATTTTGCAAGATAACTCATGGACATTGCATGAGTTCACATAAGTATAGGCACTAATATGTACATTTTGTATGAATTTAAAAGGAGTGAATATAAAAGGAAGAAAGCAAACCAGAAATAGGGGGAGTGTATTGTGCTAACTTTCCCAGACAAGTGCTTTTTCTCTTGATGTGCCAAGTATTGCAGTTTTAAATGGAAATTCTCCCTGTTGTGCACAAATTGCCACCCAATAATTTTTTTTTTTTTTATGTAAGCTAAGCCAGAATTTAATTTTGGGATCAACATTTCTAAACTTGCATGTCTGCAAGATCTCAAGCTATTTATCTTTAGGTTTTATTTGGGACCCTAACATTATCAGTCAACCAGAGGGACCTTGACTGGCTGGAGGGGCGGGCCTGTGAGAACCTCATGAAGTTCAACAAGGCCAAGTGCAAGGTCCTGCCCGTGAGTTGAGGCAATCCCAAGCACAAGTACAGGCTGAGTGGAGAATGGGTTGAGAGCAGCCCTGAGGAAAAGGACTTGGGAGCCAGCAATGTGCACTTACAGCCCAGAAAGCCAACCGTGTCCTGGGCTGCATCAAAAGAAGCATGGCCAGCAGGTCGAGGGAGGTGATTCTGCCCCTCTACTCTGCTCTCGTGAGACCCCACCTGGAATACTGCATTCAGCTCTGGAGTCCCCAACACGAGAAGGACATGGAGCTGCTGGAGCAAGTCCAGAGGAGGGCCACGAAGATGATCCGAGGGCTGGAACACCTCTGCTATGAAGACAGACTGAGAGAGTTGGGGCTGTTCAGCCTGGAGAAGAGAAGGCTCTGGGGTGATGTTATAGCAGCCTTTCAGTACTTCAAGGTGGCCTACAGGAAAGCTGGAGAGGGACTTTTTACAAGGGCGCGTAGTGACAGGACAAGGGGCAATGGATTTAAACTGAAAGAGGGGAGATTTAGATTAGATATAAGGAAGAAATTTTTCACTCAGAGGGTGGTGAGGCACTGGAACAGGTTTCCCAGAGAAGTTGTGGATGCTCCATCCCTGGAAGTGTTCAAGGCCAGGTTGGATGAGGCTGTGGGGAACCGGGCAACCTGGTATAGTGGAGGATGTCCCTGCCCATGGCAGGGGAGTTGGAACTAGATGATCCAACTAAAAACTTATGAGGAGCGGCTGAGGGAGTTGGGGCTGTTTAGCCTGGAGAAGAGAACGCTGAGGGGAGACCTGATTACGGCCTATAAATACTTGAGAAAAGATGGTGGGGAGGTGGGGGAAGGGCTCTTTACACTAGTGATGGGTGATAGAACAAGAGGAAATGGGCATAAGCTTAGTCAGGGGAGATTCAGGTTGGATGTTAGGAAGTATTTCTTCTCTGAAAGGGTTGTCAGCCACTGGAATAGGCTGCCCAGGGAGGTGGTTGAGTCCACATCCTTGGATGTGTTTAAGAATAGGGTGGATGATCTACTTAGGGATATGGTTTAATGGGGATTAGGGATGGTTGGACTCGATGATCTCTAAGGTCTTTTCCAACCTAGAAATCTATGAAATCTATGAAATCTATGATCTTTGAGGTCCCTTCCAACTTGAACCATTCTGTGATTCTATGATTATTCGTCCATGCAGAAATACTGTGGCTTAGGTCTCCCAGTAGTAGAGGTTTGATTTCCTTTAGGTTTCGTCATTGAACTGATATTCTTCTTGCCAAAATTTCTATTGCATTATCATGGAGATCCTGATAATTAGCATTGTAAGGCTCTCATATAAAAAAATCAGATTATTATTTGCTGTATGCCTAGATCAATGGGATCTGTTACTTCATCATGTAAGTATTTTTAGGACACATAAATTATATAAAATTTTGTGTGTGTATGCATGTACACATGCTTGTATTAAAATGTGGGCTTTTTCATCGCAGATGATAGCAGCCTCCTAAACTTGGCTCCATATCCATTGGTAAGAAGACGGAAACGAAGATTCTTTGGACTGTGTTGTCTTGTCTCAAGTTAGAAGATTAAGTACAGAAGCACCAAGAAAATCATAACTTTGATTAAACCGCTATTATTTGACCACTGAAAAGATGAACACAAGTACTCTTGATTATAAAGTACATTTTCTACACTAGCCTATTCCTTGTCTATTCTGCTCCATCCCCCTTTTCAAAACAAGGGTTTTAATTGTTTAAAGTTATGGTAGTCAAAAAACAGCTGTGGAATAGATCTAGCAAAATTAAGAATGTTTTTAAAACTTTTTAAGGTATGTTTTGCATGCTTACTTTCAACCACTCAGAGAAAAGACACATGAATTATGGTTAATAGATAATTTTAAAGGGTTTTTTTATTGTTTGAACTGCAGCTAAAAGTTTGTGCATAGTACAGTACTCTTAATAGTATCATATTAAAATACTTGATCATATTCTAACAGTCTTTAAGCATAGAAAACTATTTAACAGCAAAAGTATTAAAGTTCTAAAATACTTAAACAATATTGTAGCATAATTTGCACAAAATCTCCAGTTGCTTTTTGTGCTCTCATTCATATTTAGTCTTCCACTATATCTCAATTTAAAAGCTTCATAGAAAAATATCTTAATTTATGATACACAAACGATATATGAAAACACTTAGAAATTGTAAATACAGAGAAATAATATCTACATACTGTACAATGCATAGAAGCAACAGATTTCCTTTTAAGCTGATAGTATCCTACAAGCTTTTGGAAAAAATAAATAATTTATTAAAAGAAGGTGTAGTAAAATAAACAATGTAAAACACAACACCAACGCATTTTGTTTCCAATAGAATTCAAAGCATGGTGTCTGCATATCACTAAGTATTAACTCTTATAGGGCATGCCAGAATTATCTCAGACTGTAAGATATTAAACGTTTTACATTGTTAATAAAGTTTTTTATTTAAATTAATTGTTGTCTTGTTTCTAGTTATATTGCCGGAATATGTGTTTTTTTCTCTCATTTTATTGTCAGAGTACTACACAAAGTTTTGATAATATTTCGGTTTCATGGAGTGTATTCACAAAGACAGATAAAAACTATGATGAATATATAAATGCTAAAATGACAGCTAGTAGCAGCAATAGATATGAATAGGTCAGACTCATTGTACTGATAGTTCAGGATGATAGGCAAGACACCAGAACTAAACTTGTGCTAGACTGCAACGCTATGAAACCCATAACAATCTGTAACTACTGCATAGAGCAAGTCACCCTACCCTTGTAGTCAGTAATACACGAGCAAAGTGACTATGAGCCCTTCTACCATTCCACCACAACCCAGCTTGTCAACAGGAATCAAATTCCTTCTTACTGTGTAAGAGTTTAGTGGTGGGTAGGGAGGTATTGTTTCCTTGTCCCAGGAAACACCCATACAGTTAAATTCTCTATGTTTTTTTGATAGGATAATATTACTACACCCCTCAAAGTAGTTTATTAGGGATAGGTATTCACTGGACTATGTCTGACACCTACAAGCTCACTGATTTTTCTAACAAGTTTTTCTCCTGGAATGCCATTTGCTGAAAAAGGGAGAAAACACTCACATTGTCAGAAATATTAGTGTACTGTCTATAGCAAGGACCAAAATTTCAGATCTAATTCCCAAGAAGGGAAGGGTCTTCCTCAGTTGCTAGACCACTCGTGCTTTAGGCCTTCCTGTAACAGCTTCCAGCATTTCTCTGGAAGGGTATCTTTCTTTTCACCCAGATAAAGCAGAGTGTTTTGTTTTTTATCAGGTTGGACTGATAAGTTTGCTTTTCACCTTTCAGTCTCCCAGACAGAAAATGTATTTTTGAATAATCAGGCCTCCAAATAAATACTTTAAATGCAATGAGGACAAAGAAATCTAAAATTCTCTCATGGAAATTGTGTTTCCATAAGCAAAATAATTTCCATCTGAGGAATGCATGACCAAATTCTTTAAATAGCACAGAAGAAGGTAACTGCAATATGTTTTTAAGATTTCAGGTCAAAAACTATTCTTCAGCATACATGGTGTTTAATGCAGGGAGATCCCTACACATTCAAAAAGCTATGTGCTTGTGAGCACGAATGCATTTTTAAGGAGAATGGAATCAAAGTCTGCAGCAGGATGTTTTTCAAAGTTAATTCTTTGATGTTTTCCCTGCATCTCTCCTGAACAATGTCCTAGTTAGTCAGATGCTCGTTTTCGGTAATAAGTAGTTAAAGTATGTCCCAAAGGTGGCAGCACTGACATGTTTTCAAGAAAAGTGTACAAACCAATAGACATGCTCTGTGGTTCCATCCCCAGAGATACAACAGGTTTTGCAACTGTTAAAACTTTGGAAAAACAACTCCTCGTGTCTAATGGCTATTAAAAAATGCTATCTGGGGAGATGATCTGTAATTACAATTAACCAATTAATTTTGGTTCAGCCTAAATCAAAAGAGAGACCGATACTATTTTATTAATCCTGTAGACATTAATGCCAAAAAGCGATGTATAAACACAAGACTGAATATGCAGAGATGCTACGGGAGAGAAGGCAAGAAACAAAATTTCACACAAGCAAACTATATCAATCATTTTTAAATCTTGTTATATTAGCATACACAAAGAAATTGCTGTATCAGGTCAGTGTGGTGGGTTTTTTTTAACAACTACATTCAAAGGGAGATTAAGCAGTAAGTGTGTCTCGTGTGGTACCGGGCCACGTATCATCACACGCCAAGATACATGACAGCTCATATCTCTGTGTTTTTATCTCATCTATTGCAATGGAATATACATTAGTGAGAGAAATGTATACTTGTTAATTACTTATGCAAAGCTCCTGAGATCAGTCATACCTCATGACAATGGTCTGCGCAACTTTAGCTTATTCTGTTACGGAAACAGATTTACAGATGTTGTCCTTAAGGTCTCTTTTGTTTGCACTGTTTTAACGTGTACAGTTAGATGCATAACCTTGTACCTTTTGTTTTTCTGGAAACTTTAGTTGTGTCTTCTTCCTCCTGAACTAAGTTCATTTTGAAGCCTTTTGATAAATTCTAAACAATTTTGCAGTTTCTCTCAAACCTCCTGTAGTTATTATACCTTTTACTAATCCTAATGGACACATGCTTCAATTCCCAAGCTTTATGGCTACTTAAGGAATATCAGTAATTGAGGGTAAATGGAATGTCCTCCAGTTACCTGTTAGTAGATAGTGGCCACAAACCAAGACCTGGTGAGTATCTGAATTGAAAGGTCTTAAGGCACAAATTGACTGACTTAGGAATGCAGAGGATTATCTTTTACTAAAATTCAAAAGGAAACAAAAGAAAGCCCCAGAACATCAGGTAGGTCTCAGAAGGATAAATGTTAATTATATTACTACATTTTAGTTTAATGGAATAGGGTGATGTGGGATTAAAGTTAAAAAGTTCCCTCAACAAAATGATATACAAAGCACTTAGACATGATTTAGAACCATTCTTTTATGGAGTTTGAACATTTTACTTGAAAATGCTATAGGTTAAACGCACCACAACTCTTATGCAGGGTAAGAAACAAGTGAAATTTCTGTACCCAACAAATATGTCAAGTTGCACCAACTCTTTTTTACTAAAACTTTGTGCAGCTCTGACTTTTCTGAGCAAAGCCAAATTCTTTATAACTACCGTTGACTTGTAGCACCTTTCTTCTTTTCAAAGATATTTCATATCATAAAAAACACCTATCTAAATACATAAAATCTATATACAGTGTAAAGTGTAAAGTTTTCAGAGCAGAAGCAAAATACGAGTATACAGAAATAGTAAATGTATATTGCAGGCTGCATGTTAATTCACCCAATATGTTAAAAAAAAAAAAGTTAGCATGCAAAATCTGCATGTTAACGTATGCAATACATAAAAGGTTGTCCCTGTGACCTATTAACTATTCCTCCCATAGCAGGCCTACTTGGGATGAGATGAAATATAAAGACATTAATTTTTCAATAAAGGTAAACACATAACTATAAGTCAAAGGACTTACAAGAGTTGTCTTGACTGTGGTAATACTAGGGCTATTATAAGAGATGTTTATTACATAGCCCCAAATTTATTTTCTTTGAAGCGGATATAGAAACTCCACAGATATGAAAACAGAAAATCAGTGTGAATACAGTAAACTAAATTACAATGAAGATATGAGAAAAATATTAGAGAACACAACAACAAGCTTAATGGAACATTTTTGTTGAATACTGTGGTGAGTTGACCTTGGCTGGGTGCCAGGTACCTGCCAAGCCATTCTATTACTCCTCCTCCTCAACTGGACAGGGGTGACAAATGTGACAAAAGGCTCATAGGTTGACATATGGACAGGGAGATCACTCAATAATTCAATTACCATCACAGGCAAACAGACTTGACTCCGGGAAATTAATTTAATTTATTGCCAATTAACTACAGAGCAGGATAATGAGAAATAAAACCAAATCTTAAAAACACCTTCCTCCCACCCCTCTCTTCTTCCCGGGCTCAACTTCACTCACAATTTCTCTACCTCCTCCCCACAGCTGGCGCAGGGAGGTGGGGAATGGGGATCGAAGTCAGTTCATTACATGTTGTCTACTGCTCCTCACGTTCTTCTCCTGCTCCAGTATGGGGTCCCTCCCAAGGGATACAGTCCTCCATGAACTTCAGCAACATGTGTTCTTCCCATGGGCTGCAGTTCTTCATATTCATAAACTGCTCTAGCATGGGTCCTTCCCACAGGGTGCAGTCCTTCAGGAACAGATTGCTCCAGCATGAGACCCCCACAGGTTCACAAATCCTGCCAGAAAACCTGCTCCAGCATGGCCTCCTCTCCACAGGGCCACAGGTCCTGCCGGGAGCCCACTCCAGCACAGGCCTTCCACAGGGTCACAGCCTCCTTCAGGGCACATCCACCTGCTCTGGTGTGGAGTCCTCCATGGGCTGCAGGTGGACCTCCGCTCCACCATGAACCTCCATGGTCTGCAAGGGGACAGCCTGTCTCACCATGGTCTTCACCAGAGAAGAAGGGAATCTCTGCTCCAGCACCTGAAGCACGTCCTCCCCCTCCTTCTCCACTGACCTTGGTGTCTGCAGAGCTGTTTCTCTCGCATATTCTCACTCCTCTCTCCCAGCTGCCGTTGCACAGCAGTTTTCATCCTTTCTTAAATACATTATCACAGACACACTACCACTGTCACTTATAGGCTCAGCTTTGGCCAGCAGCAGGTTTGTCTTCAAGCTGGCTAGAACTGGCTCTGTCCAGCGGGGGGGGAGCTTCTGGCATTTTCTTGCAGAAGCCACTCCTGTAAGCGGTCTGTTACCAAAATCTTGCCACATAAATCCAATTCAAGCACCCACATTATGCTCATTTATACCCTGGGTCTAATGTGTTAATACACAAGTAGGCAAAATTCAACCTGGAATGAGGCATTAGCTCCTTCACATGCAAACAAACATCATG